CCGGCCCCCGGCCCCCGCGGCCCCCGCGCAGCCCTCCCGCTCGCAGCCCGGACCCCGGCGTGCTCCTTCCCGGCGGCTCCTTCCCTTCTTCCTCCTGACCCTGTTGCATCACCCTGGAAAAGGCGTGAGCCCCGCGCGCAGGGCCGGTCCTCCGAGCGCCCTTCTCCGCCTGCTGCTCTTCTCGCTATACAGACTAACTGCAGAAAGGTCAGGAGAGTTGGGGATAAAGTTTCAGCAGCCTTGCCTTGGAGAGGAGGAGGAGGGCACGCACGCTGTGGGAAGTGCAGCCCCGCCGGCATCCGCTTCTGCTTCGCCGCCTTTGTCGAGCGCTGTGAGGTCGCTCGGGCGTTTGGGCACGAGGAGGGCGGCTGGCAGCCCGCCTGCAGCTGCGGCCGTGGCTGAGGACTGCCGGCCCCTGTGTTGTGATCGCGGCTTGTTAGGCTGACGGCAGAAAGCGAGAGCCGGCTTTTCACTTAGTTTCCGCTAATTCCAGGGGTGGAGTTGGTGCGGCAGCCTCTGTGGCTCCAGGATCCAGAGCTCGCTCCATAGTGGTCAGCGGTTGTCAGGAGGTGGCTCTGTGCGCGTGTGCGTGTGCCTGTGCGTGGGCGTGGGTGTGTGCAGTCAACGTGGGGCACCCGGGCCTGGGACTGATGGTATCTTTCCGCGCCTTCTCATTGCATTTGGTAAGTGGCGTGACGCGATATTCCTGCCACTGCGTTCCCTTATCCTGGCTGACACAGTGGCTTATTTACTTCTACTTCGATCTTCGACTTTAATTATCAGTTAGATTCAGAAACATTTTTTTGGGGGGGGTTAATCACCATTTTATAAAAGGAATTGGAATCGGGAGCTGGAAAGTGCCTTTGTTGTTGTTTTTACGTTTATTTATTTTGTGCTGAATTTATTCCTGTGCTGCGCGTTTCTGTTTCTTTAGCTCCATCAGGGATATTTTTTTCTTCTGTGTAGCTTCCTCCTGTGGCTTAGGGACAGTTTGTTCCGGTTCAATCAGGATCATCCCAGTGTGTCAGGGGTGGCTCATGGATGGGGCACTTTGGGTGCTTTGTTCACTGGATATGTTCAGTGACCAGAGATTCTCTGTCTAAACCTTTACTCTCTTCGTTTTTAAGTGTGTGCAGTAAAAGTTCAGCACTAGCCGGGCGTGGTGGCGCATGCCTATAAAGCCTAGCACTCTGGAGGCTGAGGCAGGAGGATCCTTGTGAGTTCAAGACCAGCCTCAACTGCATAGCTAGACCCTGTCTCAAAAAAGAAAATAAATAAATAAATAAATAAAGTTCTTCACTGTTTTGGGCCACTGACCCTGTGTCCAGCCCCACTGTTTGGTCTGGGCACCTACTTGTTCCGCCATTGTAAGGCTGGAATGGTGCACAGTGCTTGTTTCTTGAGGGGAGTGGGATAAGACAGAGTCTCACTATGTAGTGTCAGGTTGGCCTGAAACTCACTTTGTCCTAGAGGCTGGCCTGGAACTCATGGCAGTCCTCCTGCCTCAGCCCAAATGCTGCTGGGATTACAGGTGTGCAGCAGTATACTGGGCTATTCACGTTGTTTCTTGTCTTTTTGAGACAGATCTAGCTATGCAGTTCAGGCTGGCCTTGAGCTCACTTTGTAGCCCAGGCTGGCCTCGAACTTGCAATGATCCTCCTGCCTCAGCCTCCCGAATGCTGGGATTCACATTGTTTCTTTAAAGTGACATCCGTCAGATACTTGGTGGATGGCCTGGGCAGTTTCCCAGGTCTTCTGAAAATGGTCACAAAGATTTGAGCCTCTTGATCTGCATGGTTTTTGTGGGGTGCCCTTGATCAAGAGAGTAGTGAACCAGCTGGGTATGGTGTTGCAAGCCTGTAATCCCAGGACTCGCAGGCTGAGGCAGGAGGATTGCCTGAGTTTGAGGCCAACCTTGGCTGCATTGTGAATTCAAGGCCAGCCTGGATGACACAGCAGGACCCTGTCTCAAAAAACCAAAACAAACAATAAAAAGAAAGCAGTGAACCATTGCACGGGACACTCTAGGCCACTCACAGGAAGAGAAGGAACCTGTAAAGTACCTTTGGGTCCCCTACTGAGAAAAACCAAATATATTCTTTCTTCAGGTAGTGTAAAGCTGGGTGTTCTCTGTGAAGATTCAAAAATGGATAGAGAACTAACCAGAGGAAAACTTTATTAATTTGAATAGACATAGAATTTTAGGCTTAGAATTTATTCCCTCCTCCTCCTTTAAATGGAAGTAGTAGTCCAGGCTGGCCTTAATTGTGATCCTCTTGTCTCAGCTTCCTGAGCGCTGGGACCCCAGGCCTGTGCCACCACACCTGGCCCGAATGTACTGGTTGTTGAAAAGAAAGTAAATAGTTGTAAAGCTTTCATTTGTTTTTGCAGTACTGGGGTGGAACCCAGTGGCTTGTGCATTGCTAAGCAAGCGATCTGCCACTAAGCTACGTCCCAATCCCCTGGAGATGAACTCTTCTCTCATAACATCTTTTTCTTTCTTTTTGACAGAGCGTCTCACTGTGTACCCCAGGCTGGCTTCCAATTCCTGGGTTTAAGAACCTTCCAGTCTGAGGTCTTTCTGATTTACTCACTTCATCTTTAAAATGGAGATGATAAGTGGGGTGTGGTGGTGCAGGCCCATGAACCCAGCCCTGGGGAGGCTGAGACAGGAACATCATCATAAAGACCAGCTTGAGCTCCATAGTGAGTTTAAGGCCAGCCTGAGCAATTTTACCAGCCTGCACTACATTACCCTGTCTCAAAAACCAAAGGAAAAAGCAAGGGGCCGGGGATAATAATAGTATCTACTTGAGAAGATTATAAGGAAGATTATATGTGCTAATACGTTTAAGGACTTAGCACTATGCCTAGCACATAGTAACTACTCAGTAGAACATGAACTATGTTTATTTTATAAGATTTTGGAGGGGAGAGTTGTGAACCCCTAAAGCACATGCCTGAAACTCCCTCCTCCAGTGAGTAGTCCCTGATTCAGTTCAACCCCTCATTGTATTGGTTTATTTATTTTTGAGGTACTGAAGATTGAACAGAAGGCCTCACACATGCTAGGCAAGTGCTGTACTGCTGAGCGACACCCCCAGCTCTAAGCCCATCATTTTATAGCAGAGGAAAGAAAAGCCCAGGGAGGATAGTGACTTCTTTGAGTTGTGTAGGAAGGAAGGTAGTGGGTCAGTGTCTAGCTCCCTAACTTGGGTACATTTTTCCTGTAGTACACACATACCCTCTGCACTCTCTGTGAATATAGTATTTTTTTTTTGTCTTTTTGCAACAGGGTCTCACTATGCAGTTCAGACTGGCTTTGATCTCTGTAGCCCAGGCTGGTTTCGAACTTGCAACCATCCACCTGCTTTAACCCCCCGAGTGCTAGGATTACAGGTGTGCACCACCATGTCTGGCTGAACGTAGTGTTTTAATGAAGAATTCTGTTTTTTGTTTTTTTTTTTTTTTTTGGTTTTTCTCCGGTACCGGGAACCGAACTCACGACCTTGCGCTTGCCAGGCAGGTGCTTTTGCCGCTGAGCTAAATCCCCAGCCCTAAGAATTCTGATACTATATTTTGACACATTTAGTAAATCCTTGGAGAATACATTGTCCTTTTATTATTTTTTTATTTTTTATTTTTTTTCCGGTACCAGGAATCGAACTCATGACCTCACGCTTGCCAGGCAGGCGCTGTGCTGCTGAGCTAAATCCCCAGACCCACCTTGTCTTTTTAGATGAAGTAGGAATAGTATGGCAGACACAGAAGGACATTTCTGATTTTTTTGCCTTTGGGCTGGGGACTGAGGTGGAGAAGAGGTTATGTTATACCTGCAATTTCAGAGCTCCAGAAAGTTGAGGTGCCCTGGTTGAAAAGGCGGAACTTCTGGGACCTTCGTGTTTGTTTAGCTTGGGAAAGCTGCCAAATCATGTGTGACATTTTGTGTCTGTATCCAGCCCCCCCCCCCCCCACCAGTCTCCAGCCTGAGGAGGGACTGTTGCTCTGGGGCTTGCCAAACCTGACGGGAAAGAGGAGATACCACGTTAAATAAATACTGGAGGTGTTTGATAATTACTTGTTGATGATCACATTACCATTCAGCTGGAGGAGAGTCTCATCGCAGAGAGGTTACCCTAGTGACTCATTATGTCTGATCTGGGGCATGAAATTTCAGGTAATAAAGTGGCTCCTTATTGTGTCTTTGGGCACAAGATTTGGAGGGAATAATAGTCAAGGTGTTTTTCTTGGGTGCTTATTCCAGGCTGGCTCTGGCCTAGGCACTGGGGACGCAGCAGGGAAGAAATAGAAATGTCTTTTAAAGGCTTTAGCCCATGGTTTGCTCATTGCTGTTCAGCCCACATTCTTTAGTGCACAGCACTCATTTAAATCGACCTAGGAGGAGAGCTGTGTGTACAATGACGAAGTAATTATTCATTTAAAAAAACAGCCAAGATTGATTTTTCACTAAATTAGATTATTCTAGTTTTAGATCACCTTACTAGTGACCTTTCCTTATCCGAGGAAGGAGGCACGTGATTGGCGGTAAAGTAAGTCGAGGGGCTATGCACAGAGAGAGACTGTGTACAGAGCCAGGCAAGCCGGGTTGAGCTTCCGGCCCTGCCACCTTTGAGCAGGGCAGCCTTTCTGAGCCCTGCGTTTCTTTTTGAAAGATTAAAATAATGAAGATGTGAAAGATTAGAATAATGAAGATGTGAAAGATTAGAATAATGAAGAATAATACATAGCTAGCAGATTTGTTGGCGTTATCAGGGATAAAGTTTTTATCACGGTGCCTGACATCTAAGTAGGTGTTTAACAGAGTAGCTATATAACATAGGCAGAGAAGTTAGGAACACTGCCGTAGCAGCATGGATGACAGAAAGCTGACTGGCTGGTTAAGAAACCTATGGGAAATCTTAATTATTTACTCTAAATGGCTGCAGACAACGTGATCCCGAGTGACAGATATATAGCTGATAGGTGTGGTAGATTTTTTGTTTTGTTTGTTTTCTGATTCAGGGTCTCTCTGTGTAGCCCAAACTGGCCTTGAACTTTCAGCAATCCTCCTGCCTCAGCCTCCCAAGTGCTGGGATTACAGGAGCGCACCGCTATACTTGGTTTAGATATTTTAAAAGCATAAGCATTAGGTGACTTTCAGAGGCACAGGTGATTCCAGAACTCCTTTCAGAGAATAGGGGTGAGTG